TCAAATGCCCATCACCATTGACCTGGAATCGGAAAATAACCCATAAAACATGTGTCGCATGTCCCTAATCCCTGTTTATTCATCATGACCTTTCGTGACCTGATTTTGACCTTGACCTCACCTTGTGCTTGCATATTTACTGATTCACCGCCTTTATAAATATGTTGGACGCATGCTGTGCGATTTTCACATCGCTTCATCACAATGAAAGTGCCTCAGGAGCAGCCGGGGAATGAGAACCTGGAATTTTGGTCTTTGACCTGACCTTGACCTGACCCGTGACCTTTAAGAACAACATTCGGACAATTTCTAGATCCATCTCGTTGAGATCTTTCCATTGCCGCCTCGTCCGGCGCGCTACGATCATCCGTTCCCGAGATAGCACCGTCGGCACCATATCAAAGCAAAATGGTATATTTACATAGAGAAAGTAAAAAAATAAAATAAAATATTTATAAAAAATACCTATCTCCAATTTTCACAATATAGTTTCCCAATACCCTAAGCATTAATAAAAGCTAAAAAAATAAATTTTATTTAACTGGCCACACTTTGCAAAATTTGAAATAAATTTTTGAACAATTTTCGGAAAATTAAAAATTCAAAATTTTGAAAAATTTTTCATACCATCAGAAAGCTTGTGATGTGGCGAGTTCAAATATGTATAATTTTTATAGTTTAATAAAAGTTTTCGATTAGATATAGCTACTAAAATACAATGATGTTTTTAAACTTTCAAACATTTACCAATGCTATAACTCAAAAACTGTTGCTTCTACGGGTCTGACAATTTCAGATTCGGCTTCTGGGCACAGAATAACCCTGTACAGCAACTTAGAAGCAAATCTGAGGGGGTCGGGTGTTATGCACCTGTTGAATCGTCCTGGAATGCCCCACCTAGCAAGTACCACTTTTGCAAGTACCGAGTACTTTGGCAAATGCTAAGTAAGTACGAAGTACTTTTGCAAGTACCAAGCAACTACCAAGTACTTTCCCAAGTATCAAGCAAATACCGAGTACCTACTTTTGCAGCCTGAACAGGTTTTTCGCGAATATCTCAGCTTCTAGAAAACCGATCGACACGGGACAAGCACCATTCGATCCCAAATTTTATGCCTCATCATTTTATGCGCAAACCATATCAGACCTATGCGTAGCGATAGCGAGCAAAGATCCACTAGTCTATCTTACTATTTAAACAGGATCCATCTGTTTGTTTGTCTGTCTGTCCGCCACGCCGGTAGTGGGTTCAATTTAGCCGGTCTACAGGGCAGACGGTACGGCGCAGGGGGCTGAAATTTGCACACCTTATAGGTGACAGAGCGGGTCAGCGCCTTTTCTGGGTTTCCACTCGCTGGGGTACACGGTTCGCGCGTGGGGCGCGCTGGAAGAACGCCAATGGAATTTTGATCGGTTCGTAGATCTTCATTGAGAGCCGGGGTCGACAAACTTTGTGGACTAAATGCATGCCGATCGGCGGCGAGTGCCTCGCATTGGCGGATCGGCAAGTTATTAATTTGAATGAAAAGTGGCGAAAAAATGTGTTGATTTTCGTTCAATGGAAACAGTTTGTAATACGAGTATACAAATGCACCATGTTTGCCGCAATGCGCCACTTGGTGACAAGGCGTCATTTTTGCCGCAAATCGCATAGTTTTGTCAAATATGACCCGATAAGGGTACAATTTGGTGCAAGGGTGCATGCTCAAACAACAGGTACAGATGCGCCGCATTTTCCGCAATGCGCCACATTTGCCACAAAGCGCCATTTCCGACAAAATCGAGTAAGGGCAATGGAATGGCACAAATTATTCTGTGACCTGACATGACCCAGCGGTGTTGGTAGGGGTAGGGGTAGTGGTAGGGGTAGTGGTAGGGGTAGTGGTAGGGGTAGTGGTAGGGGTAGTGGTAGGGGTAGGAGTATGGGTAGTAGTAGTGGTAGGGGTAGGGGTAGATGTAGTGGTAGGGGTAGGGGTAGGGGTAGTGGTAGGGGTAGTAGTAGGGGTAGGGGTAGTGGTAGGGGTAGTGGCAGGGGTAGTGGTGGAGGCAAAAGCAGAACAGTGGCCCGGGCTGATCCCAGCGGACGAGAGGTGACCATGTGACCTGGCTTGACCCAAAGCGACCGGGGCTGACCCCTTTGACCCGTCTTGACCCCGTATCACCCAGATTTCATCCAACAACGCCCTCAGAACAGTTCTTTTTTAAAGTCTCTTCACATTTCCGTCCATATCTATGCTTCTAGACGACACATCGACATGAATCAAACACCATTCGAAAGCAAATTGGCTGGTGCCGCATTTTTTTCTACCACGCAGCAAAGCAAGTGGCGCAGCCGCTTGTCTATATTACTATTTGAACAGGATCCATCTGTCTGTAAGTCTGTCTGTCCGCCACGCCGTGTAGTGGGTTCAATTTAGCCGGCCTACAGGGCAGACGGTATATCGTAAGGGGTTGAAATTTGCACACCTTCTAGGTGACAGAGTGGGTCAGCGCCTTTTCTAGGTTTCGGCTCGCTGGGGTGCACGGTTGGCACGTGGCGGGCGCTGGAAGAACGCCAATGAAATTTTGATCGGTTCGTAGATCTTCATTGAGAGCCGGGGTCGACAAACTTTGGGGACTAAATGCATGCCGATCGGCGGCGAGTACCTCGCATTGGCGGATGGGCAAGTTTTAATTTGAATAAATAGTGGCGAGAGATTGTGTAGATTTTCGTTGAATGGCAACAGTTTGTGATTTGAGTTTACAAATGCACCGCGTTTGCCGCAATGCGCCACAATTATCTCAGGGCGTCATTTTCGCCGCAACTCGCACAGTTTTGTCAAATATAGTCCGATATGGGTGTAATTTGGTGTCAAGATGCATGCTCAAACAACAGGTACAGATGCGCCGCATTTGCCGCAATGCGCCACATTTGCCACAAAGCGCCATTTCCGACAAAATCGAGTAAGGGCAATGGAGTGGCACGAATTATTCTGTGACCTGACATGACCCAGCGGTGTTGGTAGGAGTAGGGGTAGGGGTAGTGGTAGGGGTAGTGGTAGGGGTAGTGTAGTGGTAAGGGTAGTGGTAGGGGTAGTGGTAGGGGTAGTGGTATGGGTAGTAGTAGTGGTAGGGGTAGATGTAGTGGTAGGGGTAGGGGTAGGGGTAGTGGTAGGGGTAGTGGAAGGGGTAGTGGTAGGGGACAGGGGTAGGGGTAGGGGTGGTGGTAGGGTAGGGGTAGTGGTAGGGGTAGTGGTAGGGGTAGGGGTAGTGGTGGAGACAAAAGCAGAACAGTGGCCCGGGCTGATCCCAGCGGACGAGAGGTGACCTATGTGACCTGGCCTGACCCAGTGACCGGGGCTGACCCCTTTGACCCGTCTTGACCCCGTATCACCCAAATTTCATCCAACAACCCCCTCAGAACAGTTCTTTTTTAAATTCTCTTCACATTTCCGTCCATATCTATGCTTCTAGACGACACATCGACATGAATCAAACACCATTCGAAAGCAAATTGGATGGTGCCGCAATTTTTCCTACCACGCAGCAAAGCAAGTGGCGCAGCCGCTTGTCTATATTACTATTTGAGGTGACGTAGTTTCTGTCTATTACGAAGGTCGCGACATGGTGCTACGTAGCGCGGGTTACAGGTCACACCGTTGCACCTACCGCGCTGAAGTTTGCGCAACTCATAGAACAAGGATGGACAACGTGCCTTTGAGGGGTCTCGGCTCGATCGGGTCGATAGCGAGCGCGTGGCGCGTGCCCAAAAAGTGCAAATTCGCGTCATAGACTTTACATGTATTAATCGGCTGGCAAAAACGGGCGAAAACAGCCAAATTTGCCCGACACGGGTCCGGTCCCGGTGCAATATCTCGGTAACCGTGGGCCCGACCGGTACGGGGAAAACAGCATCGTGTAGAGAATCGAACGGGCTATCGAATGGTGTGCGGTGCAGGGGTTGGCACGCGCCACGTGCACCGGGGAGGGCACTTTCTTTTGAAAAATGGACGTTTTGGACGGATTTGGGATTTTATTTTATTTTCACGTGACCGTCAGACTGAGAGATTTAAAACAATGCCTAATGTCAAGGGAAATGTACCGCCTCTCATGGAAAAATTGTGAAAAGCCAATTGATCAAAAACAATGTGGAAAAAATCGCTGGAGAAAATGGTATTTGTCCATAATATGCCACTAAATAATTACACGGGATTTGCTGCTTAACCTGATACGTTAGACAATTGAAAATGCTATAATTAGAAAGAGCATTCAATTCTCTCCAAGATCCAACCATCACGTTTGCATGATAAGCAACGGTATTCTTAACAATATAAATGTTTCAAACCTCTGCAAATCCATTTTTAGCGAAAATTATCTACGCCTTTCATTTGTCATTTAACTACGCACCTGGATTATAAAACACATTTGACAGGTTCACTGAACTATTGACAGGTTCTGAAGTAGAAGGCATGCTTATCAGACACGGGCACCTCGATGTGATGGATATTTTTTTCCACAAACCAAAACGTTTAGCCGTCAAAAAGCAATCGACCGAAATGGATAGATAAGCCAACCGACACAAGAACAACCGAACACCCGCCGATCGAAAATATCCCTTTTCGCGTTGCGGAGCACGCGGGTCACCCTAGTATTACCTCTTTACACAAAATCTGAGGTAGGGCCATTTTCTGATAGAACACAGCAAACTGTAATGTAAACTAAAACCATTTTACTCAAATCAGTACCATGTCGCCGCTATTTCATCTTAAAGTCACACCAGCGGGGAGCGCTAAAAAGACAGTTGATTAAGTACTGCTAAATTCTAAGTTCAGAGAGTCGCTGAACCAATGGCCATCCTCATCCATCGCCCAGGTCAAGTGTTTCGTTGACTTGAATTTAGCAACCGTTCCTCGTCGGCCTCGCTTGATCATCTAACTGATGCGCAGTAATGTCAAGACTGACTGTACATACATGAACACATACATTTTTCACCTCTGTCGTTCTCTAAATGTGTTTGGCAGGTACTGATGGTACACTTCAGTGTCCCCACTGCGACTTCAGATGTCTGGGACAACAACGTCTGGACAAACACCTGAAGACGGGGCATGGTCACGTCGACAGGACCGGCAGATTCAAGTGCCTGTGGTGTCAATACTCTACCAATAAGTCCTCCCATATGGAACACCACCGTAGGACCCACACTGGGGGGAAGCCGCACGGCTGCTCCGTTTGCACGGCACGGTTCGCTCAGCGGTCATACCTTGCAACACACATGCGTGCTCACACTGGGGAGCGGCCGCACTGTTGCTCCATCTGCCAAGCACAATTCACTCGACGGTCAACTCTCACCAAACACATGCGTACCCACACGGGGGAGCGGCCGTTTGGCTGCTCCGTCTGCACAGCACGGTTTGCTCAACGGTCACAGCTCAACACACACATGTGGACCCACACGCGAGAACGGCCTTACGGCTGCTCCCTCTGCGCGGCACGATTCACTAAGCGGACATACCTCAACATACACATGCGGACCCACACTGGGGAGCGGCCGTACGGCTGCTCCATCTGCCAGGCACGGTTTGCTCAACAGTCCGCTCTCACCATACACAAGCGTGCCCACACGGGGGAGCGGCCATATGGGTGCTCCATCTGCCAGTCCCGATTTACTGAAGGATCAACTCTCAACAAACACATGCGGACCCACACGGGAGAGCGGCCGTACGGCTGCTCCATCTGCCCGGCACGATTTGCTCAACGACCAACTCTTGCCAGGCACATGCAGACCCACACGGGGGAGCGGCCGTATGGGTGCTCCATCTGCACTGCACGGTTCGCTGAACGGGCAAGCCTTACCAAACACTTGCGGACCCACACTGGGGAGCGGCCGTACGGATGCTCCATCTGCACGTCACGGTTTGCCCAACGGTCACACCTCACCACACATATGAGGACCCACACTGGGGAGCGATTGTACGGCTGCTCCATTTGCACGGCACGGTTCACTCGACGATCACACCTCAACACACATATGAGTACCCACGCTGGAGAGCGGCCGTACGGCTGCTCCATCTGCACGGCACGGTTTTCTGGACGGTCAAACCTAACCAGACATATGCGTACCCACACGGGGGAGCGGCCGCACGGCTGCTCCCTCTGCGCGGCACGATTTGGTCATCGATCAAGTCTTAGCAAACATCTGCGGACCCATAAGGGGAAGCGGCGAAGCAATTTTCTTTAGCAGATCATCTTTCACCATGATGCATGTCTACTTTTGGGTCGTGGATGGCGACACCCTTCTGTTTATTGCTGGTTGCGTTTCAAGGAGCAGTGGAGGATTGTGGTGCTCGTCATTACATATGCACAGCTATGGATTTAGTGGGCGTGATAACTATTTAATTCCTATATCGATGCGTTTGCTCTTATTTCTATGTCGATAAGTTCGTGGCTGGACTATGTTTGTTGGTATTCTTTCATGTTCATATGATACTCATTTGCGCAATATTGTTGTTGTGTGGGTGTCGTTTTGTATAGGCTTGGCTGTGCCGGAGCCCTACCAATAATTTCGCAATTTTAACATTGACCCTATGGCGCTGCGTGGGAAGAATGACTTTGATATATTAACCCTCGCCCGTAAACGGTGTTTTGCCACCTTCGCCCATGCAGGGGGGGGGGGGTTGGTGTGACCCCCCTGGCGTTTGAAAACGGAGCGTCGTAGAGATTAGCGGAAAAGACCAACGGATTGCTCTCAACGAGATCTCGCGATTGGTGGTATATTTTTTGGTCCTAGGTCAACATTTGACCTACTTATGACCGGTCAAAGGTCAAATTTTCGGAAAAATCTGACTTTTTTCAGATTTTCGCGCCGATTGCGGCAAAACGGTAAGAGATATCGACTTGAAACCTTCTCTATCGTGATCCTTGATCAATTCTCTATCGTTTGGTGGTATTTCGATGTCATAACTCTAAAAATGATGCGTTGGGAGCATCGGAAGTCTGCAAGGTCATTTGTGCATTGGGTCACGTCAGGCGTGTGACGTCACTGACCTGACCCTGACCCAAAATGAACTACAAGAAACAACCGACGATGCCTGAAATGCCTGGATAGCAAATTCGAATTCGGGGCATCAAAATACCCCGAAAAGGCATACAAGTGCAAAAAGTCATTACAGGTCAACCGAGATCACTGACCTTACCTTGACCTTTAGTAACCTTCAAAATGTCAACGGACATTGTGCCAATGTCAAATCAGCCAGTTGTGATTCTAAAACAATCCATCAGTGTGTCAGGTCAGTCGGCATTTATACCAATGTGAAGCTATCTCCAATTTAGCGTAAATCTGGCCGGAGGTTGATCCCTTTATGACGTCATAACTCCGTGACCTGACATGACCTTGACAAAAAAACCAAAAGTTGCGCAAAGGATGCACTAGGGGGTACTGAAAATTTGAGCAGGCTATCTGAAACGGTTCGGCGTGTAGCTAAGAAAAACCTCAGGGGGAGGGGGCTGCACCCCCCCCCCCCCCCCTACATGGGCGAGGGTTAAAATCAGCCATTAGAGCTATACTTATGACTTTCGGAAAGTGACGTCCGTGTCTTGCTGGCTGGCTTCTGCAAGAGATATACACCAGTTTAAGAATAAACTCGGTAATAATGTCCGCAACTACCTCAATATTTGATTGCTGGGTGGTGGACATTTTGCTGTAAATTCGGTCCTCTTGCATTTATATGCCTAGTTAGACACTTTAAATAAGCCAAGCCATCCATCTTGCGGTATTCAACAAATTTGGTTCGACTTGTTTGCACTTGTGCACTGTTGATAGCTGATAGCTGTACACATTACACGGGACCCTTGTCCCAGTCGCTGAGTCAGAGCTCTGGGCATCGTTGAAGCCCTACCGACTCACTATTTCTGTGGACTGTGTTATACAGCTGTTGTTTTTTTGTGAATGCAAGTTGCAACCGTGTTGAAAATAAACAATGTTATCATTGCATCTCTTTTGTGTTGGTGTGATGAGCTTTACCCGCTTGCATACTATTTTATAACCACGCTAGTTTTTGCGTTATTTATTTCGATGCGCTCTCAATTAATCATCGATCCTTAAAGATCCTCCTGCGATCCGCACGAATGAGGCATCAGTAATCACGCAGTGGTGTTCGGACCTACCAACTCGTACAGGTGGAGACCGGCCAGAGGTCATTCCCATGTCGCTCACCCTTGACCCTGCTCCTTGACCTGCAGGCGAGTACTGAGTTCTGATCCTGTTTGGGTTCGCTAAATTCACTTGCCCGCCTTACTTACTGGGCGCTACCTATCGTTTACTTGGCGCGAGTCTCATTTGCGACGACCCACAATGTTGCAATGACCATGTTTTAGCCTTAAGGACTGCTGACTGGAAGATGGCACAAGTAAACCTTTTAAAACGGGTTTTGAATTTTTCGTTGTCGATGGGTGCCTAATTTTCGTCAGATTGCTTTTACCAGGTTTTCACCGTCGACTCCAGAAGTTATTAACCCCCAAACTGATGGGACTGGTAGCTAAATAGTCAAATATGTCTCAAAGATTTTGTTTGTTTATAGTTGGATCATAAGTGCCATCGTTCAAGGGTGCAATCCATGATCCTACCGCATTGGTTCAAGCCTTTTCGAGCCACATCAAAAACCTGGATTTCGTGCACCACTCATGCGGTTTGTGAACGTTCGATTTTCATTTGTGTCGAGGCAACCGATCTTGGTATTTATTTTGCGTATTCATTGCGTATTTATTGTCGTAGATTACCGGCTGGTGACCGCTGAATCCACGCTTTTCGACCTCTCCCTACCCGGTGACCGCATGTCGGGCCTCGGTCACTGCCTCCAGTGGGTGAAGAAGAGGCCTCGGTCCGTGACTTTTCCTTTCATCCGTGGATGGCACAGCTGACACCTCTTACTGAAACGATGCAGACACTCTTCTTTCAGTTTTGAGTACAATAATTTTACCTTTATGTACCTACATATCTGGCGAGAAACATTTTCGACCTCCCTCAATCTGTAAATGTGTTTCGCAGGTATTGATGGTGCACCTCGGTGTCCCCACTGCGACTTCAGATGTCTGGGAAAACATCGTCTGGACAGACACGTGAGAAGATGTAAAAGTCACATCGGCAGGAACGGAAGATTCAGGTGCGAGTGGTGTCAGTACTCAACCGACCGCTCCATTAATATAAAACGCCACCATAGGACCCATACGGGAGAGCGGCCGTACTGCTGCTCCATCTGTACGGCACGGTTCACTCGACGATCACACCTCAACTCACATATGCTTACCCACGCTGGAGAGCGGCCGCACTGTTGCTCCATCTGCCAAGCACAATTCACTCGACGGTCAACTCTCACCAAACACATGCGTACCCACACGGGAGAGCGGCCGTACTGCTGCTCCATCTGTACGGCACGATTCACTGAACGGTCACACCTCACGACACATATGCGGACCCACACGGGGGAGCGGCCATACAGCTGCTCCGTATGCACGGCATGTTTCGCTCGACGATCACACCTCACCAGACACATGCGGACCCACACTGGGGAGCGGTCATACAGCTGCTCCTTATGCACGACACGGTTCGCTTTACGGGATCACCTCACCACACATATGCGGACCCACACGGGGGAGCGGCCGTACGACTGCTCCATCTGCACGGCACGGTTCACTCGACGATCACTTCTCAACATACATATGCGGACCCACACTGGGGAGCGGCCATACGGCTGCTCCATCTGCACGGCACGGTTCACTCAACGGTCACACCTCACCTCACACATGCGGACCCACTCTCGGGAGCGGCCGTTCGGCTGCTCCATCTGCACGGCACGGTTCACTCAACGGGCAAACCTCACGAGACACATGCTGACCCACACGGGAAAGCGGCCGTACGACTGCTCCATCTGCACGGCACAATTCATTCAGCGGTCACATCTCACCAAACACCTGCGAACCCACACGGGGGAGCGACGCAGCAATGCTCGATAACAGACCATCTCCTCTTACCTTGTACATGGCAACTCACAGGGGTAGTTGGCCAAACCGCTGACGCTGTTCTTTCTTCCGATGCATGGTACGGAACTATGAAGGTTGTTGCGGCGCGATAGTACACATGCACAGCTATTGATGTGTGCAGCGTGATAAGTTCTTGTTTTCTCTGTCGATTCGACTAGCCTCGTTTTTATGTCAACAGGTTCGTAGCCGACCACTGTTTTATGTTTCTCTTAAGAATGATCAATGTCATAGGTATGGTGCTCATTTGCGCAACATACCTATGTACCAGCTGCTTGTTTGTGCAGAAGATTTGAACACATCTTCCAATCAATTATGTATTGCTACTGTCCCTGTTGGGTGGTTGTTTTCGAGCAATTTTATGTTTTTCATGTGAATTATGGGCGTAGGTATTCAACTTTCAAAATTGCAGCATTCATAATAGAATTGCGGAAACGTGTATTTGCGTGTGTTTAAGTTGGTATCTAGTCGCTGAGTGTTGACAAATGACATATGAACTGGCTATAATCCCAGTCACCGAAATGATGGCTCTACACAACGCTTATTTCCTTCTTATTATATCTTTGCTCACGTCTGGTTGTTGCCTTTTCCCGAATATAATCGTGTTGAGAAAATCCTGGAGTTTTACTGGGGCTTTCAATTTTTAACCTTCGCCCCAGTGGGTGGGGGCATATGTTGCCACCCTGTCGCATTTTTTGCGTATAAATAAAAAAACCGCGGCGCGTAGCGCCGCGCCGCTTGGGGTAGCTTTTGGTACATCAATTTTGGACAATGTGTGAAATTTTTGACACCAGGTTATGTCAGGTCAGGTCACTAGGTCAAGTTAACTGACCAAGCCTAAAAAAAGTTTGCAATCATGTCCAGCCTGCAGTGTTTGTCAGAGAGGTTTCAAACTTGGTGGATTACATGATGTTATGGGTGCCTACAATTTGTATATCTCGGATTTTTTATATGCGTGACCTTAGGTCAGGTCAGTGGCGTGACCTTTCCATTATAAGTCAATGGAGAAAAACGAAAATGCCTCTAGATCCGTGTGTACGCATAGGAACAGTCCAAATATTTCAGGATAACAATGATTTGGACCACCCGTGACGACCATGGTGTCTTTTTTGCTGATAGCCTCTTGAAAGGTCATCCGAGGTCATTTGAGGCTACAAACAGTTTTTTGCCAATAACTCTCGATTGGAAAGAGATAGAACGCTGGGGTTGGCCTCATTGTGTTTGTCTTGCCGAGATGCATCGACTGATATGCAACATGACCTTTTCCGGTCAGGTCATGACCTTGACCTGAGGTCAAATTTTAAAGTTGACCTTTCAAGGTCAAATTATAGTTCATTCGACGCGTCTCGGCGAGAGGAACACGATTCTGGCATTAGAAATGACCTAGCTTTTTTTGTCAAAAGTTATTGTCGAAAAACACTTTTCTTAAAAACAGCTATTTTTGGAGTTTTTGCCCTCTGGAGGCTAAACCGTTAATCTGAGGTCATTTTTGATGATGACCTTATCAAAAGAAGAGTTCAAAAGCTATCGATTGGTTTTCCCAGCGTTTTTCTAGCTATCATAGTTCCTGAGATAGTGGCATGTTTTCGGAAAAATATAATGACAATTTGCAAATTTTGACCTTTGATGACCTCTGGTGACTCCTATATTGCTCTAAGATGAAAAATGACCGAAATACTTTCAAACGTACGCTTCAAGAGCTATCGACTGCTTTTTACCGCGTCTTTCTAGCCCTCTTAGTTTTTTTAGTTAGAGGTGGGTGGTAACATATGCCCCCCCCCCCCCCCACTAGGGCGAAGTTGGCGGAGACCGCCACTGGGGCGCGGGGCGCGCCTTCGCCCCTCAATGCATAACCCTGCCAGACCTGATTCTGACCATCAGCCGGCTGAGTGCGTCGAGGGCTGTTGGGGTTGATGGCATTCCGATCGCTGCGATCAGAAGCTGTCTCCCTGCAGTCGGTCCGCCCATCCTTCACCTTATCAACTCATCCATATCCACCCTTACCTTCCCTGACGCATGGAAAGTTGTCATCGTCACAGACGTCACACCAATCCACAAATCCGGTGACCCCAACCAGCCTGGCAACTACCGCCCCATATCCATCCTCCCATCTCTCTCCAAGATCCTTGAAAAGGTTGTGTGCTCTCAGCTCACCTCCTACCTCATCACTAACCACATCCTCTTCCCATCCCAGTATGCCTACCGCCCATCCCACTCCACTGAAGAGGCCATACTCGACATTGTCGAATGGGCGGCTCGCAGGGTCGACGGTGGTGACGTCGCCGCGGTGACGTCAGTCGACCTGAGCAATCAGCAAGGCATTCGACAGTGTCGACCACTCGATGCTTCTGAACAAGCTCGAGTGGTATGGCATCTCATCCCGCTGGTTCAGCAGCTACCTCTCTGGCCGTTCCCAACTCATCCGCTCCTCAACGGCCCTCCCACTCTCCCACGGTGTTCCCCAGGGGTCCATCGTGGGTCCCATCCTCTTCCTCATCTTCGTCAACGACCTTACCTGCTTCCTCCCCCATGGCCGACTCATATCCTACGCGGATGACACCCAAATCCTGGACTCAGCACCCTCCAATCCCACTGGCATCCAAGTGCTGAAGTCCCGGGCCGAGGAGAACATTCAGCAACTTCAACGCTGGTTTAGCTTAAACAGTTTAAAAATGAATGGAGAGAAGACCTGCTTCACTCTTCTTGGCACTCAAAATTCAGTTTATAAAGTCAAAAACTTCACCCTTAACGTAGATGATGCAACTATTCGGCCAACAAAACACATCAAGGTGCTGGGTGTTCTCCTCGACCAAACCCTGAGCTGGGAGCCACATATATCCTCTATCGTTCGGCGGGCAAATGTAATCCTTATATCACTGTTCAAAATTCGCCATCACCTCTCCCCTGACATCCTTAAAATCCTCGTCCAAACCCACGTTTTCCCCCACCTCCAGT